CCGGGGTGTGTGCATGAAATAACATGGCAAGACCGGTTTCTATGATGTGGCGGTGTTTACGTTCGACTCTACCGTTTTGTTGCGGGGTATAAGGACAAGACAGCCGTTGATGTATTCCGTTTTTGGCAAAAATATCTTTGACACGATGATTAAGAAACTCTGTGCCCCCGTCGGTTTGGAAGTTTTTAACTTTGCAAGAAAATTGCGTTTGCACATATGTGAGAAAAGTGTCAAGGATTTGGGCAAAGTCAGATTTTTTCTTTAACGGATAGAACCAAGTGAACCTGGAAAAATCATCAATAAAAACTGCATAATAGAGATATCCATTTGTAGATTCAATGGGGGCAGGACCCCATAAGTCACAATGAACAAGATCAAGCACATGTAATGAACGTTTCAAGTTATCATCAAACGGTAATCTTTTACTTTTAGCAAGTTGGCAAGGTGAGCAAAGGCCCGGTTTAGGGGAAATAGTAGTAAGAGATAAAGAACCCAATTTTTCCAATAACATAACAATGTCAAAAGCTACATGTCCTAATCTACTATGCCAAATTTCAAAGGAAGCACTAGTCCTCTTATTTTTTAATGCAGCTAAAAACACCTTATTTCCTTGCTCAAGAATGTAAAGCCCCTCTTCACATCTACCTCTTGCTATTATATCCTTGATGCTTCCATTCTGAATAGCAAAATATGTATTAGAAAATAAGATATCTACCGGAGAATCATGAGTTAACTTGCTAATGGAAAGCAAATTCTTGGTAATATGAGGCACCACTAGCACATCTAAAAGAGTAAGGTTATGGGAAATGTGAGATGTACCAATACCAGAGATGTTTAATAAATTACCATTGCCAACAGCAACATGATCGTTTCATGTGTAGGAGGAGGAAGTGTCCAAATTTGAGGCTGAATTTGTCATGTGTCGAAGCCCCAGAGTCTACATACCAATCAGAATTTGTGTTGCACTTTGACTGAAATTCATGAGCCAAATTAGCATCAATTGTTCCTCCTTTTTCATATGACGAGAGGTATGGACAAGAAGACACATAGTGTCTGTTAGTCCTACACAATTGGCAGTGAGGAGGGCGGCGGCCACCACGCCCTCTGCCACCTCCACCTCTGGAAGTTTTGTCACCACGTCCTCTAGAGTTGTAGTTGGTGGGATTGCGAGGAGCTGCAATAGTATTGGCTGTAAAAGCAACCGGAGTAGTGGCAACATTACTGTGAATTGAAGCCATGAAAATTCTGTGGCTCTCTGCATAGGATAACAGGTTGCGGAAGGAGGGGGTAGGCTTGACAGCCCGCTGGGATGTGGAGAAAGTCTCGAACCCAGACCCAAGTCCACAAAGGAACCAGTGGGCCTTATCAGTCTCTTCAACTAGATGACCCATAACAGACAATTGATCGCAAACTCCCTTGAATTTTCGGCCAAACTCTGATACGGAGGAGGATCCTTTCTGCATTTGCCTAAGTGAATCTCGCAGAGTTTGAACCCTCTCCATGGAATCGTGACTATAAGCTCGCTCCAAAGCTTGCCAAATTGCGTGTGAAGTAGAAAGATTTAGCGTCTCTGCCATGGCCTCCTCAGAGAGGGAGGATTGGATAATCAAAAGAGTCTGTTGATCTGCATCAATCCAAGATTGATGGGTGGGATTTACGGCAGATTTACCATCGGTTTGAATGGTAGCAGGTGGGCATGGATTTGTACCATCGACATGCTGAAGAAGACGCTGATAGGATAAAAGGGGTTTGATTTGATTCTTCCAAATTAGATAATTGGAAGAGGTAAGCTTTATTGTGGGCAGATGCAAAATTGGGGCAAGGGGAAGCTCTGAGGAAGACGACGCCATAGAGGGAGGAAGGCGACGAGCAAGATTTGAGGTAAGATTAGGTTTTTTACGCAACCCGCTCTGATACCATATAAGGATTTGATCTCAGTGATATTTCATGTAAATCAGATACAATATATACACGTACAGATATAACAGCCAGCCCTATAACAAAGGAATTTAAATAATACAAATACAATCTTATCTAAACTTAAATTTTATCGCTAATACAATCAAACTATTACATACCTATATAAACACCATTTTAATTGGAAGACATGTTCACTAAACCATTGGCACATTCAAAGTTGCTACCACTTATGTCCAAAATGATCTTTACAACTATATTTGCACGTTCATCTTGATGTGGACCTGTTGGGGTTATCGTTATTGAAAATAAATAAATAATAAAAAACTTTGTTTAAAAGTTAGTTATGTTAGTTTGTTTGATAGTTAGAGAATGTTAAAGTTAGTTGGAGAGTGTTGCATGATAGCTTTAGTAGCGTACCTTTAGCTTTGTATAAAGTCTATATTTGTTTTCATCAACGCAAGATGATCATTTCATCTTCTTCTTCACAAAGTTAATATATACATATTTAGCATTTTGAAAAGTATCGTCCTCTTCCGTGTATATTTACTTAATATGTTCCTCCCACATTTAATAAATTTAAGTTCCCTAATTTCACTAACTAAGAATTTTAAACATCTAACATATCTATAAATAGAGTTTGAACTCTATACCTAAACATGTTTTAATCATCTTTTCAAGTTCAGTAGCAATGAAAAAAAAAGAACAAGTTCAGTAGCATTGGGAAAAAAATCTAGTAGGAGTTAGATGTTTTAGAAGTTTATATATATATATATATATATATATATATATATATATATATATATATATATATATATATATATATATATATATATATATATATCCCTTTTAAATTTGAATGCAATTGCAATCTTGTGGTTTTGGCTTGAGACTTAAGCGTGGTGAATGTATCAACTAAATTGTTCCCCTAAAGCAACCTAATAAAGACTTCTACGCTTCAAAATGCATTAAACTGTACTCAATATGACTTTAGTTTATATCAAACAAATGAAGAGGTTCTCATTTTAAATATCATTAAAAAAAATAGCAATAGTGTATAAGAATCGACTGTTAGTTTGGTTTCTTTAGGTTTTTTGTTTTTTTCAATTTCTTTAGTTTAAAAAAAAATTAACAGAACAATGTAAGAAGACATACGGATTAAAAGTACATTTTGATCGACTATGTTTAAACTATTGTTTTTATGTAATTAGAAAATATAAAATACTTCTTTTGTTATCTTTACTTTGTATGATATATAGAAGTCATCATAGTTATGGCCAATCGACCATTACGTGCGACACTCTAACTGAAAATGTTTGTATTTAAGGATATTCTTTTCATCTCACGCCATCAATACTTTCTTTTAATGGCTCATAAAATTGTTTAAAAGAAAAAGTAAATTACAAATTTACATTTTTTTTTGTTTAGATAGAGATTAAAATCCTAACAGAAATATAGAACGAGAAGAAATTCGCGCAACTACTACCAATCAAACTCTGCCACGTGTCATGTTCTCACTGGGACCACTTCCCCGTTCGCTTCCAAGCAACCGCCGTTCTCATCACGTCGATGGCGAAGGCTTCCTACATTGTTGCTAATGCTATACATCCCGCCTATATATACAAATACCACATTGTAGCTACATATATATTACTTCTCTCATGGATCGTCGATTCTCACTCCTCCTTGCTTTTTCTCTTTTGATCGCCGGCGTCGCTGCCACCTCTTTCGCCGCCGATGAATCCGGAGGCGATATATTCATCCGTCAGGTGGTGGAGGATGAAGATCACCAGTTAAATGCCGATGAAGACCACTTCGGTGCCTTCAAGCGCAAGTTTATGAAATCCTACGCATCCCAGGAGGAGCACGACTACAGGTTATCAGTTTTTAAGTCTAACCTGCGCCGTGCTCAGCGCCACCAGAAGCTTGATCCCTCGGCTGTCCACGGAGTTACTCAGTTCTCTGACATGACGCCAGAGGAGTTCAGTAAACATCTCGGATTAAGATCTCGTCTCAAGTTCCCCGCCGATGCCAGCGAGGCTCCGATCCTTCCGACCGATAATCTTCCAGACGATTTCGATTGGCGAGATCATGGTGCCGTTACTGGTGTAAAGAATCAGGTGCTTAATTTTTTTCCGTAAATTCATCTAAATATCTGATATGGAAGTTGGATTTGACGTCGTTTTTTGAATGATGATGGTAATTAGGGTTCATGTGGATCATGCTGGTCGTTTAGTACAACCGGAGCTTTAGAAGGAGCAAATTTCCTTGCGACAGGGAAGCTAGAGAGCCTTAGCGAGCAGCAACTCGTTGACTGTGATCATGAGGTTTGATTGATATAATATTGAATTCGTTTAGATTTCATTCAATTCTCCATTTATTGGTTTTTAGATTCATCGTAAAAACTTAATCTCGTTAATTCTATATACATGCAGTGTGATCCAGAAGAAAAAGGATCATGCGACGCAGGCTGCAATGGAGGTCTGATGAACAGCGCATTCGAGTACACTCTAAAAGCCGGTGGACTCATGAGAGAGAAGGACTACCCTTACACAGCCAAAGACCATGGAACCTGCAAATTCGACAAAACCAAAGTCGTAGCATCCGTGAGCAACTTCAGCGTGGTCTCACTTGACGAAAACCAGATCGCTGCTAATCTGGTCAAACATGGTCCTCTTGCAGTTGCTATCAATGCAGTGTATATGCAAACGTATATCGGGGGAGTGTCATGCCCCTTTGTTTGCTCGAAGAGGTTAGACCATGGTGTGTTATTAGTCGGGTATGGTGCTTCTGGTTATGCTCCCATCAGATTGAAGGAGAAACCATACTGGATTATCAAGAACTCATGGGGTGAGAATTGGGGTGAAAACGGGTATTACAAGATCTGCAAGGGTCACAATGTTTGTGGTGTCGATTCCATGGTCTCCACTGTTGCTGCAATCCATCGTCACTAGTTTGAATAGTGTCTGATATGAATCAATATTTTATTAATGTTAAACAGTCAACATGTAAATATACGAATTATTACAATATTTCATGTACTTTTATATTTTTTCGAAATTGAAAAGAGTGATATGATTGATTTAAGTTGATTCATCCTCGTTACTGAGTAATTGAAAGGAGAAGGGACGAAATTGATGTCCGTTTCCTCCGTAAAACTTGTTTTGGAATTCCACCCAGTGAAGTCTTAATGCGTGTAGGAAAGCACTTAGGGTTTCCATTACTAGCAACACTCCTACAGTTGCAAAAATGAATACAACGATGCCTATGATGAGGATGACAACGTTGTCATACCTGAAAATAAATTGAATTGAAAAACTAACAACCATAATTATATATGGCGACCTTTAAATAGAATCAACTTAATTAATTAATTACCCCCATGCAAGTAGAAGAACCTTCTCGTAGAATACAGCTGACAATTCCAAATGTGCCAAACTGAGAAACAAAGAGAACGTTGCAATAATTAAAACAGTATCAAGATTGTTACATGATGATGTATACATTATACAAACATTCAAACAAACTGTGTAGTGACTATAAATTTCCATTTCATCTTACTTATTTGTTGATACCTGAGTGCCCATAAACGAAGGTATGAAGCTGTATTTGATACAGCCCCAAGAACAAATTCTATTGTATGGATGAGTTGATGAACAAATACTTCACTGAACTCGAATTCATGATCACCCTCTGAATCAACATTAGCCTCTCCATGCAAAGAGTCGTCTATGTCTTCCAGTAGTTCATACTCATCTATATCTCCATGTCTCTACAACACAATTAAAAAAAAAATCAAAAAAGATCCAATAATGTATGCTTTGTAGTTTTTATTAGCTTTGATTCGTAGTATACATATTACATACCAGGTTATGTTGTGATTTCAGAATGAAAGGCTTAGGGAACAGCATCCATGGGACTGCAATTAGTGAAAGTAGTAGCAGCCCAATCTGATTTGTATCAAAAATAAAGAAAACATTATTCTCGAATTAAGACAAGAATTAAAAATTAAAAATTAGAACCTGAATTGTCTTCTGGTTATTAAAAAGCTGGTTTTCACCAAGATCATCAGTGGGGCTTAGGAACATGTATATCATTATATGGTATAAATCAGCTTTTGAACCAGTGTACCACTTTGCGATTATAAGAAGGGAAAGGTATCCAAACAGACCATTCAAAAAAATCATTTGTGGAATAAATTGGAACCTGGAAATTAAATTGCATAAACTTTATAAATTAATCAAATATTCTATTTGCAAGATGTTATGTAAACAATTAAATTAAACTTACCATATATTCAAGCTATTTCTAAAATACAAGGCATTGACAAAGCTCAAAATAATCCCAAGGTTCATTTGTGCTACCCCAATCAGAATCGACATTTTCATCTTCAACGAGTTGAGAAATGGCAACTCACTACGAGTCCCATGCCATACAGGGTCCACACCAAATGGGTAAGTATCACGCACCTTTATCAACCCTATAGTTGTAGCATCTCTGCATCAAACCAGACTAAATTTTATTTTATTATTTTTAAATAAAAAAAAATACAGAAATTGTGTTATGAAAACTGAAAAGCACCTGCAGGAATCATCCCTGCAGGCATAAGCTGAAGGACCAAATAACTCAAAAGGAACCGAGAAAAACTCGTTGTATATCAATCCTGTGTAGATGGAGAAAAGTGACATCAGCAATATGACATAACGCCCACCAAATGTCATCTCCACAATGTCTCCAAGCTTCTGTAACATTTAAAAAAAAAAATTATTATATATTGTAAAACTACATACATACATAAACAAACAAACAAATGAATTAATTAATTAATTAATCTTACTATAGTTAATTAGCTACCTGACCATAAAATTTCTTCTCCTTTGATATTAAATATAAAGTTGCTAGAAGGAGGCATATACCATGACCCCAATCACCAAACATTACAGCAAACAGAAATGGGAATGTGACAACAGTGTATACTCCAGGGTTTGCTTCTTGGTACCTAGCCACCCTGTTTTTTTTTTTTTTTTTACATTTTTTTTAGAGATGGAAATATTAAATAAACAAAAAAAAAAGTGTGATGATATTAAATTATTAATATTGTGAATTTGTACCCATATGCATCAACAATCGTCTGAAAGGACTGTGTAAATTTATTTGTTCGGAAAAAAGTTGGAGGTAACTTTTTTGTGTGCAAAACACGGAATATGGAGCCAACTTGTGAGCTTGAGTCAATTGCTGCCTTACGCAGTGCATGTCGGATCTGAAAATTTATATTTCCATAAGGTTTAACAAAATATTAGAGAAATCAATAAAAGTAATAAAAATCCAAGAAATATGGAATGTAAGTCAGAACAGACCCTTTTAGTTGCATATACAGGGCTCCACCCTTCAGCCACAAGACACTTTTTTGTCACATCAATACTCAGCATGTTTAAAATGTGATAAATAGCTTTCTCCTTCCTTACCTTGTCATTTCAAAAGAAAGAAATTTTAAAAGCATGTTTAACAACTGAGTTAATAATAATAACAACAATACCACTTGATTCCAATGTTCGTGTTGTTCTCCAATTTTTTGTAACAAAGTGCCTTGGTGCAAAAGTCCAGCGTGTATTGTCATCTTTAGCTCAGATATCCTTCCAGATACCTCTTTTAATATCTGTGATTGTTTCGCAAGATCTTCTGCAAAAGGGTAACGATTTGCTCCAAAAGCATCACTTATTTTAACAACTTTGCTCTTCACTCTTTCTCCACAAAAGAAAACAGCAAAAACATTTTTCTGAACCTTCTGTCCAGAAGTAGGATCAACCACAGGTTCTTCAAGAGGAGCCTGTCTTAAAAACACATTACCCCTTGTAGCACGAAATAAAATCCTCTCAAAAGCCATAGCCTTTTCTTTAGGCACAAGCCCAGTTAGAAACCCTAATTTCACTTGTTTGCTTAGGTCGTTTTCTGATTCCTACATATATACATCAAAAGGTAGGTAGGTCATCGTAAAAAATAATAATGTTAGTAAAAATAATAATGTATTAATTACATCATCCTTCAATAGAGGAATTGTCAAAGATTCAGGAGGTAGCTTATTTGAGGAAAACTCTCTTTGCTTAGCTGTAGCACTGCTTTGTGCAGCTTTGAAAAATTCTCCAGCCTGAAGAACAGATTAAGTTTCTTGTTAATTTGAAGCCATGAAAATAGAGTTAAAATAATTAGGTGTATACCTTTATTAGAACTAGCTTATATTCTGTAAGCTCGTTATAACTACGCTGCAACTTTTCATTATTTGTGTTGATTTCAATCAGCTCTGCTTCGAGTTCTCCAAGTCTCAACTAAAAAGATATTATAAAGGATAAAAGGTATTATATGAATGCAGATAAAATTACATATTTACCTCTACATCATCCAGATGAATATCAGCTAATATATTAGGTTTTAATGACCATGTGGTACCCGCCTTTGACATTTGATCTTTGAAGAACCGAAGCTTTCGTGCCATTTCTCCACATCTTTTGATCTTCATAACAGAAGCAAAATGAAGCAATAATCAATACAATATAAGAACACACTAAAAGTCAACTTCCAGAAGTCAATTTTATCTCTTATTTGGGAATCAAAAAGTAACAATAACTTGCGTTTGAAAGCTTGAAGCAGAAGAAAGTTTCACCTGGCTTGCATATGTTCTCTGGAAAGGACTTTTGTCTGCATTCAGCTGTAGATACCAATAAAGTTAAAAATTATAGGAAAGAACAGAGTATAGAAGATATATATACATGTAAAGGATCTGTTCATATGAGCAAAATTTTCCACTTAACCTATCAGGAACTTATAAGAACAGACTAAAATGTTTTGTTAGCAAAAGTATGAATAGCACAGCTCCTAATTTAAACTTCTTAGTTCTGAACAGTTTATAAAACCTTAATAGCCTTTTGTAGATAACTAATTATACTCAATTTTGTATGATTGGAAAGCTAATTACTAGCACATAAACGCTAACAACTTGATAACAATTAGAATATGAAGAGAGAATGCAATAACTAATTACAGAACTTAAATAGAAGTTATATCGTAACCAGATTATCCTATGAGCTCCTGATTAGCAAGAAACTCTGAATATGTCTGAATTTCTAAAAACCATAAACATCCGGTTGGATGAAAACCTCTGTGGTGCTCAATTGACTTAATGGCAACTTTCAGGTTATTCACTCAAAAGTCCTCGAACAAGCAAAAGCTTAATTTCAGTAAATCACCTTCGGAATTACTATCATTTTCAACCTAATGCACCAAAATACGCTACGATGATAATATACATTGTGATTAAGATAACTATCTATAATAATTCATTATCAGAGAGAGAGAGAGAGGAGAGAGAGATGGATACAGACATCTTTGAATTGAATGAGGCCGATATCTCCGAGGTAAGAGATTGTCAAGTGAACGGACTCAATAGGAATGATGAGTTGTACCAAATGCATGGGCTCTGAACGGAACAGATCCATCGGTGGAAACCATCCACCTCCACCGTCCTCCGCCATCTGTGGCGCTTGATTCCGCCTTTTTTAATTGCTTTTCTCGTCAGATTTCTCGATCGATCAGTGTCTGTTTCGCGCTCGCTAATTGTGTTGCCGCCACACTGTGATCACGTCTCAGCGTTGAGCATTGTCATTGGTTTGGTTATGGTTCTGGGCTCTGGCATTTGAATTCTAGTTACCGAACATCGTTGATCAACACGTTTGGGCACAAAACAATTTTACGATAAACCCCCTAAACTTATGATCAAAGATATGGAAGTACCCTTGTACATAGAAAATCGAAAACCTTTATAAATAAATGACAAAATTGAAAATTTGGTCCCTAGAATTTTGGTCCACCAACATATGAGTAAATTACATTCTATGTTTTGGTTAAATTCTTTTTATTCAGTTCAACCTTTCAAAATTTATCATTGTGAGTTAAAAGAAGTGCACTGTTCCAATAAAAAATTTAAAAATATATATAAATTATAAAATTATAAATAAAAAAATAAAATATAAGCAGCAAAATATAAAAAAATTAAACAATTATATATATATATATATATATATATATATATATAATTGTTTAATTTTTTTATATTTTGCTGCTTATATTTTATTTTTTTATTTATAATTTTATAATTTATATATATTTTTTAAAATTTTTATTGGAACATATTTTTAATGTTTTTTATATTTTGTTCGTTTATATTTTTTTGACGTTTTATTTGAATAATTTTTCTAGTTTTTCGAATATATCTTTTAATGTTTTTTGATCTTTTGTTTTTTATATATTTGTAAAGCTTTTATAAATATTTTTTTGTATAAAAAATATAAAAAGGTTAGTTAAATGAGAATATTAATAACACATATTTCGTATATAATTATTTATTTTAATAAGGTTATTGTATAGGCTAACCGAAATTCAAAACGAGTGTCAATGGCTTCAAATTCAATTTTTTTAGTTTTATAATTTTTTTTACATTTCGTTCCGAATGGAAAATGCTAATCAGAATTCATATAACTCAAACAAATATGTCAATGTTTTTGAGTTCGTTTTTTTTTTAGAAATTTTGTTTGTAACACTCCAAATCGGGTATTACATTTGGAACCCTTGAAATTATAAATATTGCATAATGGACCCTTAAGTACGTCCCCAATTTTTGGACTTAATACCTATATAAGCACCATTATCTTATTTGAGCTTCACCCTAATCAGCCTCCTTCACCCTCAAACGTCCCTAAAAACCCTAAAATCATTGAGTGTGTGTTCTTGAGCTTGTGAGTGTTTAAACACCATCATTTTGGTGTGTTAGTTACAAGGAAGAGGAGGAATCAAGCTTGAACGAGGAAGAGCTTCGAGATCTTACATTTTGAGCAGCTTAGGAAGCTTGAGGAGGTAAAAAGCTTTCACCTTGGTCATCATTTTCATTCCTGGAGCTAGGGTTTTCTCTTTAGTCCATTTTTGTGTTCTTGGACCACCTCTTGAGAGTTTGAGCAACTCCAGAGCTTAGGGAGGATAGATCCGATGTCCTTTAGTCCATTCATAGCATAAAAATGGGGTCTTGATGGGTGTTTTGACCTCATGCATGGATCAAGACTCTTGGAAAGGTCTTAATGGGTTGTTGGGAGCATATGGAACATGCAAAGGTATAAAGTTGCCAACTTTATACTTTAGGATGTCTTAAGAGACTCAGATCTAAAGATTGGACATTGGAACAAGTATTAAGCACTTATTGGAATAAGGTGTTTAACTTGCTTGTACGTTGGTTGTAAGTAACGCACGTGTTTCTGGGCTAAGCATTAGTATAGTGATGTAATACTCAAGGTCAACCATTGTAATCTATTTTTTAGTAAAAAAGATGAATTATTTGAGTATTATGTGAATTTATGTGATTATTACTTGTTTATAATGATATAATATATAAAATATGAAAATAAGCGCCAAAAATAAAATGTTAGATAAACTTGATATCAATGAAGAAAGTTGTAGTGGTCGTGATGTAACGACCCAAAAATCACAACTAAAAATTTCCTTTAAAACATTACTAAAACCATAACATAAGT